TTTGGTGAATCTCTGCAGAGCATCTTGTAGATGGTACACACTGCTGCTACTGAGCGTTGGTGGGGGGAGGGAGTGGGATGTTTGTGGATGTGGTGCCAATCAAGCGGAAGCTGCTCTGTCCCTGGATGGTGTCGAGCTTCTTGTTGGGGCTGTACATCAGGGAGTGAATCCCTTTTTCAGTTTGGACATCTCGACTTTTTGCCTCTCTGTACTCCAGTGGATACAAAGAATATTCCAACTATCTCTTCTGGTCACGGATTATGCTGGTGAGCCAATCATTGTGAGATCCAGTGCCCAGATGAGTATCAATACAGCTAAAACATCCCTTCCCGGTATCCCAGGATTATTTGGGAAAAATGCCAACATTCCATTAGCTTTGGACCCCATCCACGAACTCTTCAAGTCTCCCAACATTTCCTGAACTCTTTCCTTTCCGTCACATCTCCTCGCCTCGCTCTTCCTCACTGGGAATGTATTTCCCTCTGGATTTTCTGGATTGGAGCAGACGGATGATCTCGGTCCTACCCGCGTCGAATCCCACCTGCTCCCAGTCTGTACACTCCACCTGTGTCCCTAACTGTAATGAGAGAGACACAGAGACAGACAGACAGAGAGAGAGAGAGAGACAGGCAGAGAGAGAGAGAGAGAGAGAAAGAGAGACAGAGACAGAGACGGGGAGAGAGTGAGAGAGACAGAGAGAAAGAGTGAGAGTGAGAGAGAGAGAGAGACAGCCAGAAAGAGAGTGAGAGAGAGAGAAAGACAGAGACAGCAAGAGAGTGAGAGAGACAGAGAGACAGACAGACAGAGAGAGAGAGAAAGAGAGAGACAGAGACAGAGAGAGAGTGAGAGAGACAGAGAGTGAGTGAGAGAGACAGAGTGAGACAGCCAGAGAGAGAGAGACAGACACAGAGAGAGAGAGAAAGAGAGAGAATCAGAGAGAGTGAGAGACAGAGACAGAGACAGAGAATGAGACAACCTGAGAGAGTGAGACAGAGAGGGTGAGAAAAAGAGAGAGAGTGAGAGAGGCAGAGAGAGAGAGACAGTCAGAGAGAGAAAGAGACATAGAGAGAGAAAGAGAGACAGAGAGGGAGAAGGAGAAACAGAGAGAATAAGTGAGACAGAGAGAGAGACAAAGAGAGAGACAGAGACATAGAGAGAGAAAGAGAGACAGAGAGGGAGAAAGAGAGAGTACAGAGAGAGAGAGACAGAGAGTGTTGAATGATTGACCATGATCATATAGAACGACAGAGCAGGCTCAAAGGGCCAAAGGCCGACTCGTATTGTCTATGCCTCTCAATGTCTATGAATGCTAGAATGGGCTCGATGGACCGAGTGGCCTACTCCAGGCCCTCGTTTCTATATTTCTCTGAACTCCACAGCCCCCTCCCCAGACAGTAACCAGAAGGCACCACGGTACGACACTCAGAGGAGAGCCTCCAGGAGGGCAGCCGCCCTGTTTCTGGGCCCCTCCGGAGGGGCAATTTGGAGTGGGCAGCCCCAGGTGAATTGGTGGCACTGTACATCGTCGAGATTAAACCCTGGGCCGGATTTGGGAGCCGGCTTCCGATGTGTGGTGGCTCGGGATTGTCCCCTCACTGAGCATTCCGCTCCCTGCTTCGCCCTGGGGCGCGTCGCAGCTGGCTATTCGGCTGCGGCATGCCTCGTTTCACGGCTCGCTTGGGCCTGATTGATGGGCT